GCCGCATGACTATAGGAGCCAGTATTTAAATGCTACATTTATCATGGCATTATGGCATATCAGATCACTATGGTTTGTGTCACTATGTCATTATTATGATGACAAAAACTGCCAATATGACGCTGGTTCCTGGAATACTTTCAATAGTCATTAGGTCACAGGACAAGGGGAGAGGGCCTAGGGCTTTCATGCGTGAGGCGAAATAGTGAGTAGTGAAATGTTGTAGTAAAATGCTGTTCATGGTTCTGGGCTCATTCATGGCTTTGGGTTTCAATTTCAAATTAAATTCCTTTGTGTCTTAGTTGGACTTTAGACTTTAGAGTCTTAGACTTAGAAAGAACTTAGTGGACTTAGTGGTTGGCCGTGGGTCCTAGGTTTTAGTTTGAGTGGTCCTGCAAAGTGTGGAAATGGCATGACATGCCACATAGCCGAGTTTGGGTGTTTCTATTGTATGATGCACCGGTTTCAAAGCCTCAGGCAGCTGGGGCAGCTGGCTATAGCAGATGCGGTAGTGTGGTGTTTTTTGGTGAAAATTAATTCGTGACTTCGCTACACCTGCAGCTGCAGCTGCTCAGGATTTGTGTTCAGAGTAATGTACTTCCTCAGCTGTGCTTTCTAGGATTGCACAGTCTTGGGCTTTGGGTGAGATGAGATGTGATTTGCCGGTCCTTTGATTGCCATCCAGTGATTGCATTTAGCTTGAGTGTAGCTGCAGTCTGCAGAGGCTAGAAGTCTAGAGTCGCAGAATAGTGCAATGCAAAATGTTTTTTCTCCTCCGACAGGGTTGCTCTGCTCAGCCCGGCTGCAGGGCCAAAGCCACAGGACAGGGTGTCACAAGTCCATGACAGGCTGTGTGTCGCGCGTGGCGATGGCCGTAGGCTCCGGGCTATAGTTTTTTCAATCATTGTTGCGGGACATTGCATTCCAATATGAATTTTGCTGCAGGTTACATTACATAGCAGCATAGCAGTTCTGAGTTCTGAATTCTGATAGATTGCATTTGCTGAGTTTGGCATTGTTTCCTGCCAGTGTGGCAACAACATCATTAGAAGCGCCGTCGGAGTTGAGGAGGAAAGCCTTCAGTGTCTACTACTAGAGTAGAATAGTGAATCGTGTAAAAATTCGGTGAGCATTGTCGGCCCAGCCAAAGCAGGAGTATGTGTCCATGGTTGGCATCTGTCTAGAGTCTAGAGTCTAGAGTCTAGGACCCTAGGGCCCTAGGACCCTAGGACCTAGGACCTTGTACGACATTTTGAATCCAGTGGTCAGTCTTGATTTTCATTGCCGTAGTGAGTGACTCTAGTAACAAGTACGCTAATGATTCTTGTAATTTTAATAAATTAGTAAAGTAAATTAATGAGTTCTACTAGTTTCAAACGATTCTGGTATGTTCCAGCACCAGGGCCTTAGAACCAGGACCATGATGCTCACACGGCTATGTCAGTATCACTATAGCATTGTGGCTATGGTCACTATGACGTAGTGTGACTATGACTATGACTATGAGGCATTGGGTGGGCTGGACATTCCGAAAGCCACGTGTCGCCGCAAACTGCTCAGGAGAACGTTCCGCTCATTCAGAAGCAAATTGGCAGAGTGTGGCAGGGTTCATTCGAATGTAGAATCTAGAATCTAGAACCTAGAATCCTTAATCCGTCTTGTCGAGTCTAGAGTCTAGAGTCTAGAGTAGAATCGAGTTTATTTTTTTCAGTGCGTTTACAATGTGTTGCCCCTTGTGGGGCTGTCTTTGTTTTAGAAGAAGGTGTGGAGTTTGGAGTCTGAAGTCTAGAGCCTAGAAGCTTAGAGTTCAGTGATGCAGTCTGCAGGATCTGCTTGCCAGTCTAGCAGAGTGTAGTCTATGCCAGTCTATGCTAGCTGCTAGCAGCTAGCAGTGTCCCACAGTGTTCTGTGTTTAGGGCTCTTGTCTAATGCCTTGTGTCATGCTGCTGCTTCCGAGTGAACTTGAATGTAACCACAAGGCTGCATCTAAGTAAGTGGTCTTTGCTTCAGCTCTTGCATGCATGGCAGCTTCCGCTCAGTCGGGAAATCTGCTACCTAGTCGGCTGTCTCAGCGACATCGAGACCACTTGTGGAGGCCGGGGCCATTTTGTAGGTGCAGCTATCCACGGAGCCCGAGTCGACTCACTTTTGATGATGATTAATGATTAATGATTAATGATTAATGAATTACTGATGAATGATTATAGTGATTAGTGATGGCAGTGATGGTTAGTGATTTAATAAGTACATCCTCCCGGAGGGATGATCACTTTATTCTTTTTGTGGAAATTTTCCTTTGGAAAATTAGTGACATGTCTTTCCCATCACGTTTTGATTTTGGGACATTGCCCAAACCTTTTTTTTTCAACATCACTTGTTCAATAGTTTGCTATTGGACAGTTGTGATCTTTTATATCCCTCGCTCGCCTCGAAGCGGAGGGTGGGTGGGAAAGCAATAACAGATTGCTTGTAGTTTTTGTATCGTGTAGAGGTGGGTCCAGCTATGGCCGGCCAGGTTCTGTCCGGCTTGTTCCGAAGTGCCGAGCTTGATGCTGTGCGCTTGGTTTGGGCTTTTCTCTGCCGAGATGATCATCTGCGTATCATTCAAACATGTTGGTCTATTCGTGCTGGTTCATTTTGCGCTCAGCAGTAAGCGATGAGTGACCAACTGTCAAGTGATGAAAGGGGAGAATCCAGGCCAGTTGGTGAGAGCTACGTCGAAGAGTTTCAAGCTCACCTTGACAATCTGGCTTGCGGCGACTCTGTTGAGAATTACAGTCGTGATTTCCTGCAAGACAGGTCTCCTGCTCTGAGTGCGAGTTTTGACCCCAGTGACTTCGAGGAGGTACAATGGTACTCAAAGGCGAATCTGTCTGACAAGGGTAGCGATCTCCCTCCTGGTTCTCTGACAGCAGAGGAGACTCCGAGGCATGTGCCCTCGCAGGGCTCTGGCATACCGGGGTCTTCTTCTGGTGATCGTGTATTCAATGTTCCAGCTGCCGTGGCTTTTGCACATCAGTCTTTACCCACTGCAGGTCTGGAGCAGTGCTGGGAGAAGGGGATTTGGGCGGACATTTTTGGATCGCCAAAGGATTTGTTTCATGGAATGCATGGTTCTGTGTATAAGAGACCGGAGGCCGTGCTTTTCGAAAGTGATTCTTCGCGCTTGAAGGCTGCCAAGACTTCTGGTTCGGCAGATAAATCTGGCGGAAGTTTTACTTGTTTGAATGCAGTTAAAGACCGTGAAGCGGTAAGCTGGAAGGCCAAGAGGGACAAGGAGCGGTCAGAGGCTCTTTACCTCTGGCAGGGGCTCATTGAGTCTTGGCCCGCCAAGCTGGCCGTGGTTCGGCAACTTTTGGACCTGGGGCATTTGCCTAGATATTTCATGAATGAAGATTTACTTGGTGGCAAGGCGCCCGCTACTTTACGCAAGCGGTACAGGTCTCTGCTGGGTTACAACAACTTCTTGAGTGACCGAGGGTTGGGTTTCCCTGGATCGGAGGAGATCTTTTACCAGTACCTGTGTGGTATGCGGGAGGCAGGCAGGCCTGCTTCTGCTCGGAAGGCAGTTCTTGAAGCCATCACGTTCACGAGATTTGTGGTTGGGATTCCGGAACTTGCTGAGCTGGGTGAGAGCAAGCGCTGCCACGGCAGCGCGAAGCAGCGAGATTTCAGGGCTCGGGTCCAGGCCTCTCCCTTTACAGTGGCCGAGCTGACCAAGCTTCACTATATTCTCGCTAATGATTCTGAGCTGTGGAACAGGCTGATGGCCGGCGCCCTCCTTTTCGCAACTTACGGCAGGGCTCGCTGGGAGGATTTGTCCCACGCAGAGTCCATTACTGTGGATCGTGGAGAGAATGGCGAGGCGGCTTTCATAGAGGCCGGTGTGGGAGTCCACAAGACAATGGGTGCCAAACTCATGCGGGGGCAGCTGTTGCCCATGGTGGCACCTGGTGTGGGTGTTACCGAAGACTTGTGGATAGAACAATTTATGGAAACAAGAAGATTGCTGGGAATTGGTGAGCCGCCGCTTTTCCCTGTGATGCCGGCGCCAGATCACCAAGGATTCCCCACTGTTCGGAGTCTTGAGTCCGACGAGGCGGGGTCTTGGGCTAGGCTGTTGCTTTTCGGGAGCGCGGACCCGATTCCGGACAGGCGCGTGTCGAGCCATTCTTGCAAGTGCACTTGCATTAGCTTTGCGACCAAGTTCGGGGCAAGTCCGAATGAGTTGCTCTTGTTGGGGTATCACACTGGTGATTTTAAGATGCCACTTACATACGGGAGAGATGCCGCTGCTCCCACACTCTTGTTGCTGAACAAGGTGTTGCGAGCTATTCGGAGTGGTCGCTTCAAGCCTGATTGCACTAGAAGTGGGAGATTTGTTAAAGGAAGCACTCCTGTCTTGATAGAAGTCAAGGACGAGGACGACGACGACGGATCGGCCCCTGAGGTCCCGACTCTGCTTAGGGAGTCTCCGCGGCGGACATTCGCCGACACCGCTGAGGTACCACCGTCAGAGGCGGTAACCACAGGCTCCAGCAGTAGTTCGGATTCAGAGAGTCAGGACGGTGCTGAACTTCCCAGGTCTTTCATGCGCTGGGTCGTTCCTGATCCTCCTGACGGCATGTGTTACTATGAGCATACGAAGTCCAAAGTTTTGCACTTGGCCCATGATCATTATTCCAAGGTGTTTGTGTGTGGCAGGAGCATTGGGGCCTTGCATGCAAGGCTCAATGATAGGCCTTCTCAGGCCTGCTCGCGGTGCAGACTGTGCGCTAGGTTTGCTGACAACGACACGAGGAAGTGAGGTGAAAGATTGTAGAGTCGCGCTTGCTGTCATGTTGTTTTGCATGTCTGAGAGAGTCTGTGCATGCAGTACATGTTAGTGCGAAACAGTCACATGTCTGATCGTCGTGAACTTGTTGGGGCTCGAGTGTTTGAGGTGGTGGTTTGGGTAGGGCGTGCAGTGGCCGTGCATCATTGGGGATCAGGGCTGCTCCATGTCCACTATCATCGAGAGTGAAGCAGCCTTCGAAAAGAGGTGCCTAGAGGTTCGTGGTGATGGCTCACTCACTGCGGGGCTGTCCACTCAAGGCGTCAAATCTTTCCGCTCGCTTGCCTTCGCTCTTGGAACCCCTCAAAGCCCACCGACCGAGGATGCCTTTAGAGAGCTTGCGAAACTTGTGTATGCGACTGGCGAGCCGACTGTAGGTGAGTTGTCCAGCATCAGGCAGCTTCACTTTGAGGCGTCTACTTTGGTTATTCAGACTTATAGGGACATGGTGTCGCATGATTCATCAGATGGTGCACCGATGAGAAAGCTTCCGCTGCCAGAGAAGCGGGCACGTAAGGAATCTCAGCAGTCTAGGCTGGGAGGCATAGACATGGACGGAGAGCTTGACCCGTCTTATCAGTTGATTGATGCTTGCAATCATCAGATGGAGAATGCAGTGATTTACTGGCTTGCACCTTCTAAATGCCCAAAGCGTGAGCAAGAGGTGATCGCAGGTTTCAAGGAAAAGCCGAGCACCCTTCAAGTCGAGAACAACACTGTCAAGGTTGGAGGTCCGAGTGTCTCTGTGGAGTGCGATACTACGGATTCTTTGCGTTGTCAGTGGGCTTGGATGCGAAGGGGTCTTGCTTATGATCAGTGCAGAATGCTTTCTTACAATGTTCATCAGAAGTGGATCCAGAGGCTCCTGGACTGCTTGTCACAGGTCCCTCCTCCGAATTTCGCACCAGTTACTTTGACGCAGTGTGTCAGGGCAGACAAGGAGATGTTCCTGCTCATGTCACAGGAGGGCCTTCAATCCTTCAAGCCAGGGCCGTCAGGTGTTCCACCTCTTGATGCAGTCATGTCCCGTTTAGCCTTCGATCAGCGCATCACTCAGTTCTTGCTTCCTATGCAGAAGTCGCAGGTCGTGAGGGTTGCGCCAACAAAGGTGACGGAGGATGACAAACCGTCTGTGCCTCCCAAGGTGCCACGCGTTGCGACTGAGAAGGCTAAGGCTAAGGCGAAAGCGCGAGGAGGCCCGAAGAACAAGCCGGCCGCCTTGGCAGCATATGATACCAGGACCAAGTTTGGCAACGCGTGCTGGGGTTTCAATCTTCCCGATGGCTGCTCTAACAAGACTGAGAAGGATCCGAAGTCAGGCTTTCAGAAGTGTGACAAAGGCCTCCACGTGTGCGCAGCGTGCCACAAGCCGGGTCATTCGGTTGTCAATTGCAGGACCTTGAAAACCGAGTGACTAGGAGGGGAAGTGGCAGAAAGTTTTCACCTTGAGCAAGCTTCCGCCCCTTCCGATGGAACATCCGTTGATGGGGTTGGCAAAGATGCTGATGCATGTTCCGGGTCCGTGGAGCGGACTTCTGGCTCGGGGGCGGCTGGCCCTTCGAGCATGCATGTTCAGGTCGGGAATTGTGCCGACAAAGAATTCCTTCGTTCGAGGTTGGCTATGAAGCGCAACTTCAGCCAATTCTTGAAGACAAATGTCGATTCTGAGAGCCCGGATGCTTGTATGGCATCGCGAGCTGACAATCAGGTAGGCCGTGGCACTGGAGTGGCCGTGTCTACTTTCGGTTTAGGTGCTGATAGTGTGGTTGACCCTAATTCTGTCCCGGTGGATGCCGATCCACGGGAACCCCAACCCCCTTCGGGTGTAGGTCCTTCGGGTTTGCCGGTTGTGAGTGCTGCCAGTCTTCCTCCTTCTGAGGTCGCAGATCCAGTATCTGCCGATACCCACGAACAGATGGCTCGCACCATGCTCCATGCAAACGCCTTTACTGCCAGCAACTGCATTCGCCTGTTCGATGCTTGCCCTAAGGACCGATCTCTGCGAAGTGTGCAGGACAGCTCCGTTGCAGGGACGCGCATAAGTTTTGGGTTCTATGTCCGAGGTGGCAAGGCCAGCGTCTTCAACGCATGCACGTCGGCGTCGGCCACCTGCCGATTCTTTACCTCGGTGATTCGATTCGTCGACCCCACCCATGTGTTCGGGGCCTTTCAGATTCTTTCCGATGTTCGCTCGGAGATTCATCTTGACAAAGCCAACGAAAAGGGATCGAGGAATCTTGTCATCCCTCTCACTTTCTTTGAGCAAGGCCAGATCTGGATCAGGGATGAGGCAGGGCAGCATGAGATTAAACACGGTAGCAAGTCCTACTTTGGGAAGTTGCTAGATGTTAATGCAGGGCCACTTCGCATTGACCCATCAGTGCATCACGCAGTTCTGCCTTGGGTTGGTCGCAGGGTAGTTTTGGTTGCATACATGCCGTCTTTTGCTGAAAGGCTCAGCCGTGGCGACAGGTCTTCTTTGTCTGAGCTTGGATTTGTTTTCCGACACTTTGCAGGCCCGAGCAGTGGCCCTTTGAAGGACATTCGCGCTGAACCAGCGGCCTCGGCACATGATCGTTCTACCGCTGAGGACTTCTTGATCTTGGAGCTGTGTGCAGGTCACGCGGTTCTTTCACGAACGGCTGATTCACTTGGATTTCGAACTTTATCGGTCGATAACAATCAGTTCCGGTCGCCTGGTAAGCAAGTCTTACGCCTTGACCTGTGTGATCCAGCCAACATTGACTATCTTCTTGAAATAATTTCTGCAGAGAAAGGCAAACTAGCCATGGTCTTCTTGTCTCTGCCCTCGGGCACGGCCAGTGTCTCTCGAGGCAAACATATCAAGAAGTGGGAGGAGCAAGGCTATCAACTGCCTGTTGAGCTACGGAGCTCCACGCATCCTGACATGCTACCTGGGCTTTCTCCTCAGGATCGCAAACGAGTCGAGGATGCCAATCAGCTCTACTTTGAGACAGCTCGGTTGGTCTTGGCTTCCGTCGGGCAGGATGTTTTGACTGTTGTTGAGAATCCTGACTCTTCCCTGTACTGGGCTACTTCTTTCTTTCAGTCCATCACTTCGGTGTGTCCGGGGTTCTTCACCCGTTTTCACTTGTGTTGTCATGGGGGTGCACGCCCTCGCTTGGTCCGCTTGTGGTCGTCCAAGGATGTCTTCAGTTCGCTTGAGGCTCGTTGCGACAACTCGCACCCCCATAAGCCATGGCAGCCACGTTTGTTCGGACGTAAAGTCAAATTCACGACTGCTGACGAATCTGAGTATCCTTCTGTCTTTTGTCTGAGGCTGCTTTCAGCTTTGGCAAATCACATCCAGGTCTCCTTGACAGGTCCGTCGCCGCAGCAATCCGTGCCTTTCCATAGCAAGAGCACTCGCGTGGCTTTGGGTCTTCAGCCGCGTGGGGCCTCCTTCGGGCCTTTGGTCGCGGAATTTTCGCATTTTCTGTCGTGCTTTTGCCCTCCGAGTAAGCCGCAGCTCTTGCTGGACTTTTTGGCCAAGCAGCCTAAGGGTTCTCGAGTAGTTCGTCGCTTTGTTTTCGGATGGGGGGAAGTCTTGCATTCACTTGAACTGTGCGAGCACCCGATTTTCCTTGAAGTCCCAGATCCGAGGACTGATCAGGTCGCAGCAAACGGCACTCAGGTGGAGCTTGTGACGATTGGCATTCCGTGTGAACCGTCCGAGTTCATTCGAAGGGCCTTGATCACGGGGCACCCTAGGAGCTTCGAGTTCCATCTTGAACCCGAAATAGATGAAGCGATTCATGCGAACTTTGTTGGGAATCCTGGTGACTTAGCCCGTGCCCGAATCGACTTTGTCAAGAAGTGGAGTGCGAGAGCTAAGGAGCTCCAACCTGAGGAGGATAAGCTTCATTCCGCCATGCCTGGCTACCTTGCACAGGTTTTGCAAGGCAAACGTCTTCTCCTGTTTAAGGAAATGATGCAGGCGGCCGGATGTAGCGATGAGCACCTTTTCAGGGACGTCGCATCTGGCTTTCGTATATCCGGCTGGATGCCGGCCACCGGCAACTCCGGACCTAAGGTCAGAGCACCAAGGATGTCAGTGGACACCCTCAAATTGCTTGCCCCTGGATTGAACAAGACCGTGGTGTCTAAGCTTGCACGGCGCCAGGACTCAGAGCTTGAGGCATCAGTGTGGCAAGAAACGCAGAAGGAGATAGACTTAGGTTGGGTTTGGGTTTCGACCGAGATCTCTCTTTGTAGCATTGTCATGCGCTTTGGTATTGTCCAAAACGGTAAGGTTCGCTTGATTGATGACTGTACAATCTCGTGCCTCAACTTGACGGTTGGGCTTTGCGAAAGGTTCGAGCTACACACTATTGATAAGCTTGCTGCGATTCTGTCTTGTGCGCTTGAGAGGACTCCTGCCTCAGGCTTGTCAGGCTGGGTTAGGAGAAATTATGATCTTAAGTCCGCGTACAAGCAGTACGGTGTGCACCCAGTTGATCGCGCCTTGGTGAGACTGGCAGTCAATAAACCAGGGGAGGAAGAGCCACTTCTCCTTGGTCTGAACGCACTGCCTTTTGGATCTGTAGCGTCCGTGAGTGCTTTTCTGCGTGTATCGTTCGCCATCTGGAAGATAGGAGTTGTTCTTGCAAAGATAGTGTGGACTGCGTATTTTGACGATTTTACGAATGTCTGCAGGAACATCTTGAAGGACAATACTGCTTGGGTCATCGAGTGCTTGTTTGATCTGTTAGGGGTTCGCTTCGACAGGTCAGGTAAGAAAGCAATTGACCATGCAACCTCCTTTGCAACTCTCGGTTTGCAAGTGGACCTTTCAAATACAGAGGATCGTGTGATTCTTGTCGGCCACACCGACAAACGGCGCGACGAGCTATGCACTGCACTCAACGAAGTTCTTGAACGGGGTGAGATGGAGCCTAGGCCTTTCGAGAGGCTGAAGGGTCGCATGGTTTTCTTCGAAGGCTACAGCTTCGGAAGGGTGAGCAACCAAGCTGTCAGGACTTTGTCGAGAGCTTGCAAACACAAGAACTCGGCCGTTCCCTTGAATGCTCTACACAGGTCTGCATTGCAATTCTTGATCGAGCGAACTAAGTCGGCTGAGCCATTGAGGGTTCAGCCGTGCCTCCGGGCAACTTGGATTCTCTTCACGGACGGAGCTTGTGAGGCTGAGAAATCTTGGGGTGGCATCGGAGGTGTCCTCTTTGCCCCGAATGGCAGCTGTGCTGGCTACTTCGGCGAGTCGGTCCCAGACGAGCTCATGAAACAACTCCTGTCCTTTTCGAAGAACCCAATCTTCGAGCTTGAGATTGCTCCAATCTTGATTGCATATGAACTGTGGAAGGGTCTTATCCAGGGAGCACAACTTGTGTGTTATCTTGATAACGAGGGAGCGCGCTACTCTTGCATCCGTTGCTTTGCAGATACCTCGAGTGTCGCTGACGATTGGGTGCGAGGCATCCTTCATCTTGAATCCCAAGCGCGTGTGAACGTGTGGTACGGCCGCGTACCCACTTCATCGAACATAGCCGATGGCCCGTCTCGGCTTTCATTCACTGAGGTGCAGAGGCTTTGCAGGTACAGGTCGCGTCCGACCTGGGCCACTCTCCTTTCAAGAAGGGGGTGACTCCAGGGATCGCGGCATCCCCCAGTGCGGAAAACGACGACCTGTTTTGCTTCTGCTTGATTTGAATATTTGATTATTTATAATATGACATATTCGAATGTTTGGCATTCGATATATTCTACCATTTATGGGAAAGTTGTTCGCAATCATAATGATTGTACATGCCACGGTCCACAATAGAGAATAAGTACATCCTCCCGGAGGGATGATCACTTTATTCTTTTTGTGTGCTATCTCCAGCTTGCCTGGCGAACACCTTATTTCACCACATCATTTCACGCGCGCACGTGCATTTCTCATGTAGGGCGCGCAGACAGATTTTCTCACATTGTCTTGGCATTGTTGTCTCATGATTTCTGCACATGTTCTTTTTCATGCTGGTTGCAAAATTTTGTGAACTGCTCGAACGTGCAGCAACTGCACTCTCAAGAGGGAGTGCCGGCAAAATTTTGCCTGTAGCGGGTGCCAGCTGCGACGTTCTTAGTACCCACGGGGAACAGTTCTCGCTCTGGCTGGTGTGCTCCTAGGCCTGTTGCATGCAAGGCCAAACGATTTGGGGAGTCGACCTTGACTCCTCTGATCGCTCCGATAGCCAATCACCCTCTACTGTTTCTTTAGTTAGCCGGCACGTGCATCAGCTGGACTTGCAGTTGCGGACGCTGAGTGCTCACGTTGGTGCTTGTGAGCGTCGAATCCGTCAATTAGAAGCTGATCTGGCTGACCTTCGTCAGGCTGCTCCTCCGAGCTGTTCCACGTGGTGGGACCTCTTTGCGTGCTGCTTTTCGCGGCAGCAGCAGTTGCTTTGATAAGCTTTCACCCAGCTTTCATGTTTTCGGATTTGCTCGACAACATGCGACGTGCTTCTGCCGACCCTTGGTCGCGCCCAACAGGCTTTGAGCGACCTGAATTGGCGGAGGATCCAATTGAGGATTTCACTGCTAGTCCTGCTGATGCACCTGCAGTCTCAGCTGAGCGAGCAAGCCGCCGTGCTAGGCTTGCCTCCAGGAGTCGCTCGGATTCTCGCCGCAGGCCCAGGATTTCGCAGAGGCTTCCTAATGTCCCTGCTCAGCTTGGGCATCTTACTGCGCAGCCCCGTGTGAGCTTCTTACCTGCAGTGCCTCTAACCCAGCCTCACCTTTTGCCAGGGGAACATGTTCAATACTTGCAGAATCTTTTGCAACAGCAACAGAGTCAGCTTAGCGACTTTGCCTTGGAAGTTGCTGCGTTGCGCCGCGTTGCCGCGGAGCAACAGATGCTGGCAAGCCACAGGATTGACGAGGTTGAGCGGCGGTTGCGTCGTGTTGACGCACTCCTGCAGCACATCATGCATTGTCTGCAGGTTCCACCGTTGCGCCCTGCCCCTGGCTGTGACTGAGGCGACCCCTAAGCCCCTCCCTAACCCCGTGCCATAGCCGATGCCCAGCTTTCCGGCGGACCCCTAACTTGTGCCCTGCACTGCTGCGGTCTCGCTCCGAGTTTTGTCTTGCATCTTCGAGGCGGGCTGGCGCCGTGTAGCAATCTTGGCGTAGGTCACTATGATTTTCCGAGCCTGGGCTCTTCACGTGTGCTGTTGCTGGCATGCTACAAAGTGTCGCCTGTTTTGCTAGGGGAATCTGCAGGCTCACTCCTCATGCTTGACTGCTTGCATTAAGTTTTCAGGTTCAAGCTGCATTGAGAGTCCGAACTCGGTGTGATGTCTGGGGGTCGTGACTTTGATCAAGGTGCCAGGGACAGGCTTCGCCGAATGTCTGTCGAGGCCATGACGACGGCGCCGAGTGTTGCTGCCCTTGCTTTGCCCTGGGAGACAGGACCGCTGGCCGCCATTTTTGGGGAACCAGAAGTGCTGCCTAGGCCTGCGCTTGATATCGAAGATGTCATTGACACTGCAACTGTCCGACCTCTGGGGCCTGAACCGTCGGAAACTGCCCCAGGTGATAAGAAAGCTTTCACTGCTGCGTGGAACAAGGATACATTCAGGCGAGATCGCCTCCCTGAGCAAGATAGGTTCAATCTCGTGTACCAGGAGTGGCTTCAAGTGATCCTTCCATGGGCTGGCGATGGAACTGTGCTCGGCCTCATGGTGTCTGCTGCTGCCGATCAAACTGAGAAGCTTGCAGTTGTCATGCAAACCCTTGGCGGCAAGGCCTTGTCGACACTGGAAAAGCGGTTGAGGCAAGTGAAAGCATTCTTGGCATGGGCCCTCCTCGCGAGTGTTATACCATTTCCTATGACCGAGCATACATGCCGAATGTATTTGAAGAAGCTGGTGGAAGAGAAGGCGCCTGCCTCTCACATCAAAGGCGTGTTAGAGATGGTGGGGTTCCTCAGACATGTTGTTGGCCTACCAGTTGCTGAGAATGCAGGCGATTCACCCTGGATTCGCGGAGTGCTGCGGATGGCCGCGGCGAATGCCAAACCCACTGCCAAGGCTCGGCCGCTCACGGTCGGAGAGGTTGCAACGCTCGAGTCTTTCGTCAAACGCCGAGTGGGAGCTTTACAAGACCTCTACGCGGCAGGGTGCTTCCTGTTCTTGATCTTTTCGAGAGCGAGGTTTGGCGATTGCAAAATCATCAGTGATGCAGTCTTTGACATCGTCACGAAGAGTGGCGAGCTTGTCGGGTACATCGAGGTCATCTCTTGGTCGCACAAGATGCGGCGTCATTTTCCTTCAATCCCTTTGGTTGCCCCGGTTCAGGGTGCCACCATAGGAAGTTGGGTCGAGTCGTGGCGGTCCATCGCCACTGAAGTGGGTCTTCCTCTTGAACGGTTTCAAGGAGGTGCAAAAGGACCATTGTTGCCGCTCCCAAGCCAAGGCGGGTGGCTCGAGTCGAGTTGCTCGACGACAGAAGCGAGGGCTTGGTTGGTTCAGATTCTTCAGAATGCTGGGCATGTCGAGGCTCCGTCGCTAGGCGCTCACTCGTGTAAGGCAACTTGCTTATCGTGGGCGGCCAAGTACGGCATCTCAAAAGACACGAGGACTCGCTTGGGCAATCACAATGACCGTGGATCTGCAGAGTGTTACGGGAGAGACACACTTGCCGCACCGTTGAGAGATCTGGAGGCGTGCATTTTGGCGATTCGCACAGGATCATTCCTGCCAGACGTTTCTCGAAGTGGTTATTTCCCTGAAATGCCTGACAAGTCACCGTCTTGTGAGGGTTCAACCGAGCCGCAGGGTGGCATTGGCTCCAGTGATGTCGAAGCGAACAAGAGCTTTGACCCGGCTGAGCTCTCTTTCGGGGCACCGGCCGACCAAAGCGACCTAGATAATGATGCCAATCCCTCTGAGGGCTTCGAGCCTGATGCCATTGAGCACCCGGCCCCGAGCCCAAGCTTCCATGGAAGCATTCGTGATCAGGATGTCGCACTCAACGAGTCGTCCTCCAGCTCGACAAGTTCTTCATCAACGGACACGGAGGTGGAGTCGGAACCTGGCCCACACCTTGCCGCTCTTGACCGGCCAGTTTGGCGAGACGCCTGCCAGGTTTGGCAGCACAGGCAAAGCAGAACCGTGCATCTGCTCCCAGAGGCCGATGCAGAGTCGGGGTCCTTCGTGTGTGGGAGGGTCAAGTCGCAAGCCTACTTCCGAGTCACTGGACATCCGATTGTCGATTCTTTGAAGTGTGTGCAGTGCGATCGTGGTAAAACCATCAGAAGCACGGCACAACTTGTGCATGTTCTTGACAAGAGGCGGCGCACTGGTTAGGGTGTGCCGGTGAGTGACTCATGTGGACCCGTGTGAGAACCGCTCAGCGTGTGCTCCATGAGGACCCGGAGATCACAGCTCTTCCCAACATTTTCGGTGCAGCTGTGCGCTCCCCGTGGTGAGAGCCAGCGGCATCTCAACCTCGGCAATGCCGGGGGGGGTGTGCTACATTCGCTCGAGCAGTGGTTACTGGAATTGGTACATGCTTGAGTTTGAGTGTGCTACCTTACATTTGCGGTGACGCTGTGCGCTCCCTCTGGTGAGAGCCAGCAGCACCCAGCCTCGGGCACGCCGGGGTCCGCATTCGCTCGAGAAGTGGTTACAGGAAAACTGGAGCACTCCTGCGGGCTTATGTGTTGTCGTGCCTGGCTCAGCTATCTGAACGCTCGGCTTGCTCATCTCAAGTGTAGCTCAGTGCATGGGCTTGAAGTAGACGCCTAAGGCTCCAACATGTCCGGTGCCTCACTCTTGGATTCGAAAGCAGCCTTCAAAAACAAGGTGCTGGAGTATGGCCTGCCCAATTCTGTCTACGAGGCCATCGTCAGACGTGGTGTCGACACTCTTAGCAAGGCTGCATATGCTGTGGGGGCCCCGGGCGTTGTACCTGCCGAAGATGCCCTGCGAGCCTTTCTGAATCCAGAGTCGCCCGCTACTGTTGAGCAGGGTCAGGTTGCAATTGCTAGGCGCCTCATCTTTGAAGCACAGACACTTGCGATAAGCCAGCTGCGTCAGCAGATTGAGGGGCCGGACGAGAAGCGACAAGCATCCATCATGCGTGCGTGAATGGGTTTTATTTCCCGCCGAAAGTGTAGACAAAGTTTGTCGAAAAGGAAAACAGAGTTTTCACTTGAGTGTGGGTAACACTAGAGAAACTTTGCCGTGCAGCTTTCGGCTTGTAGCTGGATCTGTGATCCAAGTTTTTTTGTCAGCTTGTAGCTCTCCGCAGCAGTAGAGTTTGCCAGTGGCACTCTCTACTCCCTCTTTTGAGATCGGTCAGCGACCTTTCTCCTGATCAGTCATGATAGACCAAGCAGCGCGGGTCTATCAAAGTGAATCGCCAGAGGCGCCGTACCCCAGGCGGGACGGAGAAGCAAACCGCCTGGCATCGCCAGGCATGCTTCATAGGATTCGGCAGTGCCGATCCTGTCTCCGGTTTTTGCAGTGCAATCCTATTTTTATTTTAGAGCAGGCCATGCGCGAGGAGTTCGCGCAGCAGGAGATAAGTTATCTCCTGTGGGCTTTGAGCTGTGCTCTTCGGGTAGATCCCGAGGTCGTCAGTGACGACCATGAGTCGCTTAATGTGGAGGGGGCGGCCAAAGTTTGGCCCCCTTTTCACCCGTTTTTGCAGCTTCCAGGGGAGCGGCCTGGGGAAGAGGAAAGCAGCGCTTTCCCAATGCATCGTTACACGATGGCTGCGCGGGACCACCCGGCGCGGCCAGCGGCCACGCCCGGGTGGCCTTATACAGCCATGTTCGATTGGCCGCCTAGCGGCGAAGAGGACGATGTCGAGAAACTCCAGTGGAGGCTTAATTTTGTGAACAGCCTAGAAGGCCATGTTCGTGACAAGGTGGAAGCCAGCGGCTTCCGGTGGAACCCCGACGCCAAAGGCAAGGGGAAGGGTGGCTGGACAAAGGCGCCCCAGGAGGGGCAGAAAAAGAAGACAACGAACAAGGCTGCCAGTGGCAGCACTGACCCCGCCGCTTCTTCCAGTACCACCCCGCCGGCGGCGCCGGCCGCTTCCTCCAGTGCGCCTGCCCCTTCGCCTCAGCCCGCGGTTAGTCCGGCACAGGGTGCTCACGGCGCGCCCACCGCGGCTGCCGCAGCCTCTTCCACCGACCAGCCAGCGGCTGATCAGGTGATTCGGGTTGAGGACACTGACAGCGATCAGAACTCGGGAGACTCCGAGGTTTCTCTGGCTAGCAGCCAGGCGGCGACGGCAGTGCCGTTCGCGATTGACGCCAACGCGCCAGTGATGCGCAGGCCGCAGAGGCGTTCACGCCAGCGGGGATGGGCCTTCCAGGCGGGAGAGGATCCCCAGAACGATGCTTGGCGAAACCTTCGGTCAGCGACCGATGCCCGCTACCCGGGCATGTGCGACCTAGTAGATCGCATACGGGCAGGCAACCCGCACCTGCGCGTGCCCGACGTCTACGAGTGGCCGTACTGGTCCACCCCAGGCTCAGAGAGATGGGTAAAATACCCCGAAAGGCGCGGGGACTTGATGTGCTGTCTCCCCTGCCAGCGGCAGGGCTGCATCTCTCAAGGTATGGCCGTGTGCGGGCGTCACTGCTCAGTGGGCAGGTCGCCCCATAACCACCACGAATGTGACAATTGTTACCGTGCGGGTCAGCGACCCCGACAGCGCGGAGGCAGAGCAGGCCGCCGCTAGCTGCGGCGGCAGCAGTGCACCTCCCTCCAGCGAAGGGTCTGTTGCGACACAGCGTGTCCGTTTTGATCGCGCACTAGTAGTGGCGCTCGCCCGAACTGGGCGGCGTCTCTGAGGTCCTTGGAACGCCGCCCACAGTGGTGAGCCCACCGACTCCGGGCGCTTCACAGCAAAAGTTTCCAGCGTGCTGGTAGCACTTTCTTGCTGTTTCTGAGAGCCTGGTAGGTTTCTCTTGCTGGGTCAGCATACGCCACCGTGTCGGTGTCTTGCCAGTGGCTTTTCT